CCCTTATAGAAATATCATATTAAGAATCATTGATAATTACTTATTATCCAGTATTTTTAATACTGAAAATAAGTAATTATCAATGATTCTTAGTATGATATTTCTATAAGGGTCACGCAATAAGGACAAATGTATTGCAAATCGGCGAATTGGTTTTCCTCTTCTTCTTATAAAAAATAGCAGAGAAAGAGATAAGTAATCAGTAAAACACAATGAAAAGTACGTTACCTGTACGATTCAGAAAACGTGTCTCGTCGAGGGGTGTCGCGGATGGATTTTCACATAAAGGTAAGGCAAATCAGACTCGTCGCGGGCGGTGTCAGGCGCTGAATGGTTCGTCGAAGGAATCGGCGAATCTGTTATCAGCCACCGGCAAGCTCGCGGCGACAACGACGAGGACTGTGACGCGACTGACGACGGCTCCGTGGGTCTTCGTCTCACGACAAGGAAAACTCGCTCAAGTTTATAATCCGGCTGGACTTTATTATGTTACATCATTCGCTCGTCACCAACGTAAGTACGGATGGTGGGGTAGCGGGTGGTGTGCGCGTTAAAGTAGGTAACGGCGCGGGCGGTACTTACCCACCACATGGAAAGACGCGAAAAGCGAAGAGTGGAAGAAAAGAATCGTTTCCGATTATATCTGAGCGACTAGCACCGCTGCAGGTTACCTTGAAGCGCTATCGATTTACCACGAGGTCCGGGAGACGAAAGGACGAGGAGGTGGAATACAAGGCGTTTGTTCAACAATTATTGTTATCGCCTTATCTAGATGCGACGGATCCATCGTGAAGTGCGACGACACAACATTGCATTAATCATTTGTAGAAATCCTTGATCCGTCTCGATGGGGGAAGGAGACGTCTGTTTCTCTTCATTTCGGACACTACATCGCGAAAAATCGATAGACCTGCTGCAAGCGAGGAAGCCCGTAGTGTGCAGAGAAAATAGAGCAGAACACGAGAAATCATCCTTTGTGTTCCTGTAAAAATTGATTTATGAAAAAATGGCAATAATATTTTACAAGCGAAAAATCTACGGTTATATAGTATATAGTTATATAGTTTCACATTGCAAATACAAGTTTCTTGATTCTTACTCAAGAGAAGGAAATGCGCAATAAACAAATTGTGTTTATAGATGAGTTGACAGCCGTGATAATATATACAGCATCGTATAGAAGGAGAAGGGCACACTAGGTGGTGGCGGCACGCCGTGCGTTCGAGATCTGCGTATCTTTTCGTTCCAGAAAGAGAAAAATATCGAGAGCGCGGTTCTGCTACTAGGCCGGGACTCGAACCCGAGGGTCTTTCGCTTGCCGGGCGACTGCTCTAAATCACTGAGCTACCTGACGCTCCACGCTCACGACACTCTCCCCTTCCTAGATAACGCTCAGAGATGCCGTTCGGAAGCAACACCTCTGGCGCGATCCCGAGCGCACGACGACTACAGAGAGAAACGCATTATCATGTCGTTCTTAATAACAAGGTCAATATATCAGTCAATACTGTCCTTATCAATAATCAGTCAATATATTCTGTGTTTGTTAGATCTTACGCCGGTTATCGTTTATCCTTGTGCGCATTAATAATCATCGCTATATTTGCAACAGTATGAGAACTGCTGGTGATAATTTGCGAAATAATTACCTCATCGTTGCATCCTTGTACGGTAGATGTATTATGTTAAAAATTGGCTCCGTTTATGGAAAGTTAATTTTCTGTCATTCTTTTGTGACGACTCGCATAGATCCGAATAAGTCAACGACAATTCAACGACATGAATCGAGTCGCGTTCTGGCAGAAAAATCTTAATCCAAGGCTCCTTTGATGCTCAAGGGAAATATATATCGTCATGTATACGAATATACGTTTTATCCAATAAAATCTCTCTCTCTCTCTCTCTCTCTTTCTCTGTCTCTTAGCGCGCGCTTCTTCGTGCACATATTTGGAAAATAATAGCTATATTTGGAAAAGTGTCGGAAAGACATCCGCCTTTGTCTCCGTAAAACAATTGTACATTAAATTATTTATATGCGAAACCCCGTGGAATATGTGTCACTGATTACATGGTTCGAGTAATATAATTTTTGCACTTTAAAATAATTAGACTAATTAGACTTGTATGCGCGTTGGAAAATGTTAGAATATGATGTCAAGTACAGGTTCATCACAAACGCGCAATTTACTTGCATATGAATGCTGGAAGAAATCACGAGAGAGAATACACGATCAAAAGTATCACGCAGGATGCTAAAGATCTAATATCAAAGTAAATTTTAACATTAGAAGGTAAGTTAATCTAATTATGATATCTATCTTATTACGACGACTTGCATGAAATATTAAAATCTGTGTCAATAGTCATGATTTGACACGCTTATCTTACATGTGACAAATTTCAAGTAATAACTATTAATAAGAGTCTTAGATCCGTATTAATAGTCGTTACTTGAACTTTATCTTACGTGAGATACCGAAATCTGAATTTAGAATAGGATCTTAGATTTTTTTTAGTTGAATCACATGATACACGTGACATAATGTCAATAATTTTAATTGAACTAAAAAATTCACATCTAACTCTAAATTAAAATTAGAGTATCTCAAGTAACGACTATTAATACGGATCTAAGTGACAATAGTGTAACAATGTCAAATCGTAAAACGAGAGAAAGAAGTACAATTGTAATCATTTACAATCAATTGCAATCATTCAAGTCCGTCGAACAGTTAAAAATATTAATAAGTCTTACAATAATAAAATAAACATGTAAATTTTCTCGAATATGTATGTGTGAATTATTTAACGACTCGTGTAATTATCGACACAATATTCGAAAAACTCGAGCCATATAAGCATTATAACGAATCGTTGGATTAGGAGTTGTGCGGCTTCCAAATTCTTGCCTTTTTTCACGAGTTAAATAAATTATCGTGTACTTTACGTGGCTTCTATACGTAAAAGGTCACGTCGGTTTAGAGATCTTGTTGCTCGTGGAATTTAATATAGTACAGCGAGTGCATTGCACGAACGTGTTAGATTGCACCTTACGTAATTACTGCATGCGCTAAATTACAAGAATTAATGTCAAACTTTAATGCGTTAACTGGTATTTTTTGTGAAAAGGAATTTAGTTAATTTAGCAGAAAGAAAGAGAGAGAGAGAGAGAGAATCAAATTAAATTAAATTAGTAAAAAATTAAAAAAGTTAAAAATTAAAAAAGTATTTTTATTTTTGCAATTGAATTATGTCCTAAGCAAAAGAAATAATTCTAAAAATACACAATTCTTTATTTTTCTCCAAAAGAGCTGTAAGATTAAATACCTACCGATTGATTTAATAATTATATTTTTATTAAACCAAAAATATGCTACACTTTTTGCGATAAATATGTACAATTAATTATGGTTAACAATCGAGTCCAAACGTGGATCGCCTATCTCGGGACATATGTCACTGTATATACATCAAACGGCCATAAAATCTACTTAGAATAATAAAGTACATTTCTTGAATTTGCGTTGAAGATAACTCACAATTATATACACCGTTATCAAATTTTGGTAATGTCGAAAATCCGGTTGGTTTAATGTAAACTGGCCGAATTTGCGTTTACTTTTGCCGAAATATCATGATGTCTATATAAAAATATTGCGACTGACTACTGCAGTTCGTGTATAAAGTTCATATAAAAATGTACACGAGTTTGATTTCACAACTTCGTATATCATAGTCTCTTGACTTGATCTAAACATGGATAAACATTAAGCGATCGAACAACTTGGTAACATTCGTTTTCGTTTTACGATTTAAAAAATGTGTATGTCTTAACAAATCCGAACAGAACGTCTTATTTGCATTCGGCCGGTTTAATGCGATTTATCAAAGAAAATTTATGCGCAAGATGGGCGCAAATATATCACAGATGTTCGCTGTTCGTTCGTTGTTTGTTCGCTCACTGTATATCCAACTTTGAACCATTTATAATTCGCGGTAGATTCAGCGGCTGGTAAAAGAATACTTTACTAATCAGGATATATATATAATATTATAATTACACCGAACGTCATATATGCCTTAACAGTTATTTACCATTTACAATTTCCACGAATCTTTTTCGACCTCAAATGTAAATATGTGTAAGGTCGCAAATCACAGCCAACACTATTGCACCTTAATCACAGTCTCAATCTCTGATGAATTTTAGAATGCATTCGATATCTAATAGGAAAATTTATTTTCTGAAAATTACTCAAAAAACATATCCTCTTATTGAATACGGATGCGTTGCAAAACTCATTTAAAAAATGTTTGTAACCTTCTTCCAATTACTATAGAAATAATTTAACTATACAAATAATTTAACACTATAATTTTAATTAAAATATTATATAAGGGCATATACGATTTCTGGTGTATATATGTCGCTTGAAATTCTTTTTAGTATTAGAACGGCACAAAATTACAGGTGGAATTTTTTCTCTCGTTTCTCGCATCCTGTCATCAATTGTGGGACCTTTAAAGTAGATTTTATAGAGTACGAAGTGACAATCGCATCCAATTTAGATAATTATGCATATGTTTGATGAAAACTTACTTTACATAGTGAGAAAAGGCGATCCATTTAGCTTTGGACAAGACACTCTTTCGAAACTTGTCCAATTCATTTGAGGGCTCTGTCCAAATGGTCCCAGCCCTGTATTTATAACCATTGCTTGAAATTTATCTCAGAGAAACTTAGATCTAAGTTTACAATCAGTCAGAGCGTCTCACGCGAAACAAGTTTCAAGCAACGACCACAAGTTTACAAAGTGAAAATCCCAACTTAAGATTAAAAGCCGACCGAAATATTATATTAATCAAAGTCTATACATAAAACAATAAAAGATAATATGTTGTCGTCCTATCAAATACATAAGATATATCTGACACCTATAGTTATAAAAAATCAAACGTTTTACATTCCCAAAAACGAAACGTCGACGATAGCAGAGTACCTCACTTCTTCACAGTATAAAACGACGCAAGTTGGAGAGGAAGCTCTGACCGTTACATGCACATTTTTGCATCGTAAAACGAAAATTGAATGGTTATAGAGGAAATCTCTTCTGAAACACGTCAATCGCAAATAAACGCGCGACAGAATATTCGCTCAGTCTTTTGTAAAACGTATATTCTCGCGCTCACGGAGAATCAAAATTGTCGCGCTAACGACAATCATTGCGTCTACCTTCTCAATAGTAATGGAAAGAAAGAATAGCCATTCAATTTCATGAAGAGTAAAACAATTGGAAAAGAAAGAAAAAGAAAATATTACACAAGTCACGTTAAAAACCGAGGTCCCGCTTGTTGCGTGTATATTCTTTCACTCCGCCGTACCGTCCCCGGTAGATTATCGTCGTTCGTGTAGCGATCGTTGTATCTGTATTGCCACTTGGCAATCATACAGTCCCACTGTAACAAAGCGAGTTAATAGATGTTTCGCGGTGATCAGATCATTAATCGCGTCGAACAATTCTTACTTACAGACGTGGAAATGAGGTGAGGATGAAATGGGTGCCAGCTAACGTCACGAACGCACGTTCCATGACCGAACAAGATACGCACTATTTTTCCCGTTAAAAGATCGTATACTAAAATCGAAAGTCGTATGATCAAACTTCGTCGAGGTTTCCTCTGTTGTATAAACTATATTCGAGAAACTTACTAAATATTCGACCTGACGAACATCCCGTGTAAATATATCTTTGACCAGTAGTGGCCGCTGGCGAGAAACGACAACGGATCAGAGTTTTCAGTACACAATGGCCGCGATATGTCATGATACTAGTGTCGCCTTCTAGCAGATTTCCCGGCCTGTACACTAGAAGTATTTTAAAATAAAACATGGAAAAAAATAAAATACCGTGACTCTATCTCGATTATTTTCTCTTTTTTTTCTTTTTCATTTTTCTTCCTGAGCGAGTAACTACTTACATCGTTTAGGTGCACTCTGCCACCTGTAATCCCAGTTTTGGTTTGAGACAGCCTCGCGAGTGTTCGTCTGGCCAGTTTTGCCGGATAACGCGCGCACGTCCCACAACTTGATAGTTTGGTCTTTAGAATTGGTTATTAAATACCGACTGTCGCCGCGGGAATCGATGTACGTAATCCCGTCCATATGACCTGCCAACACTCCAACCGGACGTGGATCAGTTTCGCTTACCATTCTCTTATCCCATACCTAAACGACAGGAGTACAATGAAGACGTGATATAGAGCGAGCAACGTTTCCGATAGTCGCGCGCGTATCATTGAGAATCGTATTCGATCGAGTCTTAGCATTTCGATCACGATCTCTTAGCAATATTAGACTTCAGTACCGTTAAAAAGAAAAGAGGTCTTTCCCAGACGCGGGCTCAATTATACCTTGCACAATCCGTCGTCGCCTGCACTGTAGAAGATCTGCGAGGTTTGGTCGGCAAAGGTAACAGCGTTTATATCGGCATCATGCCCTGCGATCTACACAAATCGACAAATCAATGTTAGAGTACAACAATTTGAGCACGCGCACACGTGCGTAACGTCTCGTTACACGATTTTACAAACCCGAAGGACTCGTTTATGGCATTCACGGTCGTACGTGTAGAGGTAACCATCGTTCGCGCCACCCAGAATTTCGCGCCCATCGTTTGAAAACACCACGGAGAATACGCAAAACCGCCGTATATTAGGGTTCAATGACAGCATCTCGTGCGTGTTGTTATCTCCGAGCACGGAGCATTGATATACTAGTGGAAAAAAAAAAGAAAAAGAAATGCCTAAAAGGTGAAGACAAACGGATCCAATTTCATCCAATATTGACGATACTTACAACATTCAGACCAACTCGAATACACGATAGTACTACCATCTGGACTGAATGCGGTATCTAAAATACTCCAGCCAACATCCTGTGCGGGTATTATCTTACACAGGAAGAATCGATCGTCATATGTATGGAACACTCGCAACAATCTATCTGTTAAGACACATGATTAGATGCAGGATAAAGAACGCTGGATTTCACACGAGAAGCTGTAAATAAAACGCATATTTCATACATGCAATGTTAGAAAGAAGCATTATACCTTGGCTGGCAGTAAGAAAGAGCCTTCCGTCTTTGGAGTGTGAACCGCAGAATATTTTACTGTTGTACTGATTTATCACATCAAATCTATTAGGTAAATAATTATTGTTTATCCAACATTTATCAACTGTATTGAAGGCAGGCCCAATGGTTCTCTTCTGTATCATAGACGTGATGGACAAATTCTGTTTGCTGGACTTATTTGTTAGTTCACAGGCTTGTTTGGTGGTGAAATTTATCTCATGTTTCTGAAAAATGTCACAAAGTTACTAATGTGTAATAAATAATGAAAACGTCTAATATATATAAAGAGAGAAACGTATAAATACAAGGTAGAATATAAGAAATCTGAGGATTCAATCTAATAAAAGGATCGATGACAACAAGTGGCTGGTTCTGAAGAATCTGAATAGAATCAAGAAAAAAAGGACAATAAATTGATCTTCTCTAATTTCTAGTATTACAATTAGGATATTAGTACTTTTGATACAGCGGTACCCTAGGATACCCAAGGGTAAGTATATTTATATCCAAATATATGATGTTTCTATTAAAGAAAGACATATGTATATATACTTGTCAGTATTTATTCATTCTTACAAGACCTCTCATTTATAGTCTATTTTTTAAGTGTCTCTAGAAATATCGTCCAGATATATGGAATACGTTCTTACAAGCGAGAAAAATAGAATAAAATTAAGTGCTTGATAACTCACATCTAGCCTGTCTGTGTTTGGAACAGAGGTGTATCGCTGCCGCGTGTTTTTGTAATATTCCTCGTCGTCATCGAGCTGGATTGAACCATCTACTCTGTGTAAACGTCTACTGAAACAGACGATAATATCAAGAAGATTTTATGACAGCCGTACTGCTGCTTTACGTGGAGGTTATGTTGACAGGTCGCATACAGTGCGACGTACGATGGTGTTGGCATGTCTCTCTCCGCAGGGGAGGCGAAGGAGAGAAGATTTTGTGACAGCTCTCCTGCAGCGTCTTTCGGACAATGAGGAAACACGATGCGACAGAAAAATGACCGGGAACAGTACTATCGCACGATGACAAGAGATGTTTACATACGTGCGAGAACACAGAGCGGGAGCGAAAGATAACTCTTGTGTGCAACTACTGGAAACTCTCTCCAAAGCCCTATCCGTATGCCATTAGTGGGGTGAAAAGAGACAATGGTATTGAACTATATAACTAGAACGAGCACCGCCTTTATTTCTGCCCGATTATCTCAAACTGAGATATTCGGTGACTTTTAGCAACAATGTTGTTAACGTTGTTGTTGTGTAGATGTGATATATAGTAGAGAGAAAAACTGCATAACGCGACGATAACGTTTTGTCATTAAGAATTATATTAGGCCCCTCTAAATAGAATCTGTGGTCACACACACACACATAATCTTTCTTATATTACTCGAATAAAAAATCAGGCTATATATCTTACCGTAGAATGTTAGTGAGAGATAGAGAAATTGTACTATTTGGAGGTGGTCTTTGTTGCACAGTCGATTCGATTTCTGCCAGGTTAGTTTTTGTACTTATTCGTTACATAGTTCAATAAGGTAACGGGAAGCGACGAGAGGTTAGAAAAATAACGCGCGCGAGAGAACAGAATGGCAGTAACGGAGGGTGTAACGGGGGGATCGATAGCAATCACGCAGAGAATAACACATAGCCAACCTTCGTGCCCAATATTGTAATATGAAGATGAAGTTAGGCTTGCAGACGAAGTCCATTATACGGGAACCGATGCCACCCATGTAGAAAGAAATTAATAATATTTACTGTCGAGAGAAGAGTTTAGAAGGGGTTGATCGATTGGTCGGTTGGTTGTGACTGATCGGTCGGTTAATTGGTTGACGTTGATAAAGACGGTGAACGCAAAGCATGCATCGCCATCAGATGCATCTTTCGCGTGCATCTCGCTTTTCCGCAGTGGGCGCTGTTAGGCATGCACGCGCATTTTCCCAACCGTAGATAAAGTCAGACTAGAAGAAAAGTTGACACTTCCGAATTCCGACGCGCGTGTAAAACCTTTCAAATAATTGTTGAAACAAACTATATAAATACGACAGAAACAACCTTCTTATATGTTTTTATTTCAGAAACGATTCATATTGAAATCGTATATTCTTTCTGTAATAATCGACATACAAACATGTTATATCGATGCGAAGTTAAGTTGAAATGGGCTAAATTATGATACGAGCAAGGTTGACATAGAATAAGTTGTCATGGCACGTGTTTACGATGAAGAATATTGATACATAATTTTGAGATGTTCAAAAATATATTTGGCTATTCTTGTGAATCGGACTTTTCTTTTTATTTTTATATCTGTGTGTGCGCAATATTTTTTTAATTTTATAATAAAACTCAAAAATACTTATGTTTTAAAAGCAACATTTTGCGATTTCTTTTTCACTGTTTCTAATAAATATATAAATGAAACGTATCGCCAATTTAACTCGATCTTTTCTTCCTATTTTTTCAGTGCGCGCGCGCGCGCGCGCGTCGGTACTACCTTTTTATATCTATTTTACGGTAAAACTTTGTTCTCATTTCTCATCACGTTTAACTATTTTGCTATGTTTAATACTGAATTGCCGTCTTGTATTTGGTTTCTCTTCGAATGTCTGAAAAATATTGCTCATCTGCGTGACGCACAAATATGTGCAAATAAATAAATATTATCTCGCGCGAATATGTATGCGAAATACGTAGGTCGCATTTATACAACTGTGCGATACGCAAATTCCGAGGCACCTGCAAATTCTTCACCACAACGACATGCTTCTACGCAATTCTATCGGTATTATTTCACGACGCGCGAATTGTTCTAATTATTCTTATATATTATTTTATTTTCTTATATTTTATGTAATTTTCTTTTCTCTCTCTTTTATTCTATGTGACGAAGTATTTTTTTATTTGTTACTTCTTCTATTTGTTATACATGTTGAAAGATATTTTGGAAAAACGCGCTTTTAAATCTTTGCACGGAAAAAGAAGTTTGGTTAAGTTAAGCAGATTTTTGCTAACTATTTTTGGTAAATATAAATAAATATAAATAAATTCCGATTGAAGTTATTAAATAATAAGATTTCTGGTTAACTTAAACAGAATTCTGGTAACATCAGCCGAAATTTTCGTTCGTATTTCACTAGAAATTGGTCAATCCAACCAATTTTTTTTCTCTGTTAGTCGAAAGTCTTCGAATGCTTACGCGTTCTAAAGTTTTAAATAGAGATAAAGACGCCGCGATATTCATGCGCGGTTTGAAGGACGATTTATTAAAAAAGTTAAAGCTGCGGGATAGAAATTTTTAAAAGAAGTTTATGTGGTACGAGCGCGCAATTCTGGCAAACTGCTGCCACAGGCGATTAGAATTTAATGCGACAAGATACCGGAAAATGATGATTAATTCTGGCGTTACGACGATGCGCGGTTAGTTCCGCTGTGGGGAAGGGTATTATAACGATGTCGAAGCAATACTGATATTCCGCACGCTTGCATTTTGAAAAATGGATAAAATGAATAAAATGAATAATGGTTCAACACATTAGTTTTGCTTCGTTCGCAACGACCGTTGTTTCCCGGACACACTTGTTTTTCAATAATCACGTCAAAGGACTGTCTTTCTCTCTTTCTCTCAACTTTACGTCATAACGTTTCAATAAAGTATCGTTGCATTCGCGTCCTGAAATTTAACATATTAAAAACAAAACGAGAAAATGGCTCGTGTGGAAAGAATAAGCACATATAAATGGATCAATAAAATTCTGTTATTTTATCCTGAATTTGCGGTTGTCTGTGTGTTTGATAGAAAATAAAAGCGAAGAAAAATAAATAAAAAAAATACAACCATTTTGTTGTAGAGAAAATATAGAATTGAAAGTGAGTCAAATCGGAAATATAAGAGAAAAATCACCAAAATAAATAATGATACAGACGAGATCTATCTCGTCATTATTTAAAGTGAAAAAACTACTAATGCTTGTGTAAGTACGTACTTAATTTTGAAAATTTTTATTATTTTAAAAGATTATTTTAAGAATCTTGAAGAGGATGCAGCTACTAACGTAGTACAACTTAGTAATAGTTTGCTCTGTTTTATTTGTATAAAAAAATTTAAATTTAAATATATATTATCAGTATTCACCAAATAAATATTTTTTATTTTTTAAATATTGGTCTTTCACAGTATAAGGAGAGAAAGTGAGCATTTCGTTTATTTGGATCTCCATTATGAGAAAACGCACGCGATATATATATATATATATATATATATATATATATATATATATATATATATATATAATATCTCGACTATTATTGCGAATATCGCAAAACAGTATAGGATTTTTATGTTCACCTCAATCCGTTCTATGTTCCTACAAAAATTGCGGAGAAAAATCTGGATATTCTATATGAATACTGAAAAATACTCTACATATGAAGAAAAAAGAGAGAGAGAGAGAGACACATCACTCGTCATCGGTCGATGATGCATCATCACTTATCAACCTATCGGTCAGGGAAACCAGCAGGATTGACGTGTGATGAAGGGTATGCTAATAGTGTTAGCAAATGTTGCACCGCTATTTCCAATTGGCCACACGCGCGCGTATCTCGTATGACCGGACGGAACTTGAATCGATCTCGCATTCAACGAATAATAAATTCGCGGTAAAGTTCCGTTCCGGTCGCAAAATTGTCGAGGCGTAGCAACAATCGATGAACTGAATCGTCATTGAAGAAAGGGCCCCTTGCGAATTAAACCTCGGAAGTGTCGACGAGCCACGTCCGCCAACCTCGTTAACGGAATTTTAATTTTATCCTGAGATTAAGAAGATATTTAATATTGATACTCGGAAAAGTGACCTCAACAAGTGACATTTGCCCGTCCCGTCATAATGCTATCCGTTTATTTTGAGAGGCCCAGTATATGTGTGTGCGTGCATGATATTAATTTCTCTATTTATTCATGCGCCCACGATAGAATTTCGAGGACGCATGGAAAGAACGGTGGATGCTGCACCCACTCGTTTTCTCATTATCATCACCCACGCTCATTGTTAATCTCCGGAAATCGCAAATATCCGAAGTTGACTTCGCATGCCGGTTAAGAGTGACGGCAAAGAGTGACAGCAAGTCACGCCGACTGAATATCGCAAATACCGCGGACACGAGCGGCAAGAGGAATGAGAGTCAAAACGGAGAACTCGCGCGAATCCGAGAGGAACGTATATTTGAGAGAGCGGGGGAGAATTTAATCGAATTCAAATCGAATTAGGTCAACGGGGCGCGCGATTCGCTCAATCGGGCGCGACTTTTCGAGCGTCCGAAATCTTATTAGAGAATATAAATTCACCGTAGCCGAAACGCCCCGATGAGAGGAAAGGGTCGAAAGGATTGGGAGACAAATCGAGGGAGATCTGATCGGGAAGCAGATGTACAATACGTATTCGCCGATGACACAATAGCATGATCACGAGCAAAATTCGATCGGTTCGTTGACTCCCGGGCAAGACGAACTCCGCTACAATGCGGAGTATCAAATAATCGAAGTAAGGTAAAAAACAAATGCTCGGATATGTACATTGACAACGAGAAAAAAGTGTCTAGTATTTGTAACTATGATCACGTGGAGAAATAATTAATATAAATTATAGACAAGATCTTTTTTTTATTAAAACCTACTATAATTTTAGCGATAATAACTTTATATACGTGTTAGTACTACCATTTTCGTATTGAAAGAACTAAAAATACGGTTAGGGCTAAAACGACTACAATTTTAGTTTTTTTTATCAATTATTTTAGTTATATCATTATTTTTTCTCTCAGTACACCTAATCCTCTGATATACGAATATATAAATATATAAATATACGAATGTATAAATGTTCAATATAGAATATATGCACATATATTCTATGTTAAAAGATGAAATGTCGTCTTTGAAAACTAAAATAAGAATATCCAGAAATAGGCATGTACTTTTATCTTAACACCGAACATGATTGTCACAACAACGGTAATGACAATGACGAGTGACGTCCGAGTCCGTCCTGTAGAGGTCGAAATTCTCCTCGAAGGGCGTCGCAACGAAAGACGAGACGAAACGTAATTCCGGACTTGCGTCATTCGCGACAGACCAGACCTCTCTTTCTCACTCTCGTTAACCTTCCTTCGTCGCGGCGAACTCGTCGATCGCGTCAGCATTCTGAAGAGTCATAATAATAGACACGACAAAGAAGAGATTCAATGGACACATGATGCGATCCCAAAGTCTAATCGATTCTGACGAAACAGCCCGGATAGATCTACTCGTTACGTATTTATTTTCGCGCCGTTCTTGCCGCGATAATGATATTGGGAAGCGTCAGGTGTGCGTCGAAGAAGGGCACCATGAAGGGATAAACCGTCCCCGAGATTGCGTTTATTCAACTCGCAAAATTCCGAACAAGCCGCTCGATCCTAATCAGTCGGCTTAACCGAATTTTCTTTCCCCTTCTGATTCTCTTCGCGTGCACATTTTAGTCGATATCAGAGGATTATCAGGCTCCGAGAAATATCGTCTTTACTTATCTTCTCGTTACTTGAGTAATTCCATATTGTTAGATCCTCATGTGATGACGATTAAAGGACACCGAGATAAGCTCGCGAATTTTTCAGAATTTCGAAGTTGGAGCTTTTTGGACATTCATCCCTTATAGAAATATCATACTAAGAATCATTGATAATTACTTATTACCCAGTATTTTTAATACTGAAAATAAGTAATTATCAATGATTCTTAGTATGATATTTCTGTAAGGGATGAATGTCCAAAAAGCTCCAACTTAGTATTTCCAGTATTAGTATTATTCTTAGTATTATTTCCTTAGTATTTCTTAGTATTAAGCTCCATTCTTAGTATTTCTATAAGGGATGTTAAAGACGTTCCTCTAAATTATACATGTCTTTTTTGCAATAACCGAAATATTTTCCCAATTTCGACGAAAATCGAAAGAGAAAAAATAGCTATATTCTAAAAGGAACATTTTGCGATCTCTTTTCCATTCTTTCATAAACAAATGAAATGCACGATCAACATGCCCCTGTGTTAATTTTCGAATCTCAAAAGAACGCGGTCTCGAAATGTGGCCCTTTGGAACGAACGCGTGAAGCACCATTGAAAAGACGAACTATTCCGCGATCCACTCGTCAGCGCTGCTTTTGTTCGGTCATTCAGTCGGTAGGTCGTAGGTGAATCATGTCGGATAATCAGAATAAGACCAGCCAGCCAGCCAGCCTGGAGAAGTGTTCGTCACATCTCAGCTGATAGAGACAAGGCGGTCGGGCGTATTGATGCAGGCAGGTTTTTCGGTGCGGAGCGAAGCGGCGCACCGCACCACACCTCGCAGAGAGGGAACCTCGGGAGCAACCCCTATCTCTCGTATCCTTCGTTCTCCCCAATCATACATCCCTGGTACAGCCCCGCTGTATATCCAACAGCTAGCTACCTACCCACCTAACCAACCGTACCAACCAATGTACCTGCAGCCCAGACCTATAATTTCCAGGCTAGAGGCCTACACCCTGGCCAGAGCCGGGCGAGGACCTGAGCCGAGCGGAGAGCCAGGCTAGACATAGGACGCGCACGCGCGTATCCTTCGCCAACGCCGCCGCCGCCGCCGCCGCCGCCGCCGCCGTCGTCGACGTCGACGTCGACGTCGTCGTTGGAACGCGCTGGTGGCGACGGTGTCGGCGGGTGGTTGGAAACGAGGGTGAGTAGGGGAAGGGGCCTGTTTACAGGATAACAGGATCCTCTTCTCCTCCGGTAGCGCCAGTGTGTCCGCGAGACGCATCACGGCGCATCGGCGCGGCGTACAACGGGCGCGTGCCATCCGCGCTCGACAGCTCGCCGCCGTCGGCGTCGCCGTTCATCCATCGCGTAAAACGCCAGGAAGCGAGCGAACGGACGGACCCCGATCGAGGGATCGGCCACCACTCTCTGCTACTTCGATTCTCTTCTCTTTGGAAGAGAGACGCGTCTCTCTCTTCTTCCCACCTGTTCAACAACCACCGCCGCTTCTTCTTCTTCTTCTTCTTCTTCTTCTTCTTCTTCTTCTTCTTCTTCTTCTTCTTCTTCTTCTTCTTCTTCTTCTTCTTCTTCTTCTTCTTCTTCTTCTTCTTCTTCTTCTTCTTCTTCTTCTTCTTCTTCTTCTTCTTCTTCTTCTTCTTCTTCTTCTTCTTCTTCTTCTTCTTCTTCTTTTTCTTCCGCTTCCTCTTATTCCACGCTCGCCGCTCTCGACCAAGTGAGAGAGTCTATGAGTGCGGTGTGCTCGCGCGTTTCCCGATATCGTTCGGCAACAGGTGAGTCACTCTCTCTCTCGCGCGCAACCCTCTCCGCAACTCTGTTTGCCTATCCGTACCGTATGTCTTTACGCTGCACCATCGTGCGTTCTTTCGCATCTTCCGCGTCGTCCGTGTATCGCGAAGGTGCGTCGCGTGCGTGCAGGCGTACGTACATACGTACATACATTGTTCATCGTTTTTGCATTGCTCCATCCCGACGACCCTCCTTGTCCTTCTCCGCGAATTGAACCCTTTGCGCTCGAGTTCTGCGACGATGACACCTCGCGACGTGATATAGTTTCGTATCACGGGGAGGAGGAACGTCGGTGTGTTACACGAGTAACGACGGTGGAGGAGATTCGACGCGGTGTGACGCGGCGTCGCAGGAAGAATTAGAGGTGAGAATTACGGGGCCGAGAGTCAGAAACGAAATTGGGATCGTTCGCAAGAATGACTGACTGCCGTCGCCGTCATCGCTGGTTGCTGCTTGAGCTCCTCTCGCCTCGGGGCGAAAGGTCGCCGAAGATCAGGGATTGCGATTAGAGGGGTGCGTTCGTTCGCGAATGTTCACGACTCGCGCTTATATCGATTTACCGGAGGATAACGCCCGTTAAAATGTCGATTCTCCGACGGAAACTCACAGTCATTCTAATTCGCCGCAATAACGCGTTATTAAGATTCCATTGTGATATTAATGCGAAGATTTCGAACAAGAGGAAGAGCGAGAAAAAGAGGGTGTCTTCTCGCTATAAAAAAATCGGCCAAGGGAGAGAGGAGGAAGAGGAGATTGCGAAGGACGGGAGCAAGAGGAAGGGAAAGAAGGAAACGAACGCGAGACTCCGGGCGAAGGACGTCTCCATCGAGAATCGTATTTCCTGCACAGGAAATCCTTTGAGGAAGGGAGGGAGAAGAAAGAGAGAGAGAGAGAGAGAGAGGGAAGAAGGGAGGAATGTAATATACATACATATATATATATATATATATATATATATATATATATATATATATATATATATATAT